CAAAAAAAAGCACAGGTAAAAAACTGTTATGTGTTCTTGTGTGGGCAAAATAGGACAGAAACTTGTTGTAAGGGAGAGTAGGTGCTTTGAGGAGTTTTACAGAGTTGTGTAAAGAGAGGAATGCCACAGGAAACAACTTGCACAATCTTTCCAACCCAAAGGGTAAAAACCAAAGTCTACAACTCCATGCTAACCTTTTGAGGAACCATCTTAGGACACCGCCAATTGTAAAGGTAATACTGTAGATTGCCGTCACCTTGGCCAAAACTTCAGCTCTTAAAGGAACTCTGAATTCTCCATCAAGTCTAAGGCATTAAACACACATAGTCAGACTGAAAAGGATAGTTTAATAAAATTCCTGTCAAAACTATAAATGCATTTTTTAGATCCAAAAAAATTTTTTCCCTTAATACGTATTAAAATTTATTTATGCATTTAAAATTATAAATTGCAATTCAGATTATACTTTCCTAAAAATAGTTAAAATAAAATAAATTCAGAAATAATTATGCCCCACTCGTCTAACCCAAAACATCTCACGCAATTTCTTTTATGACATAACTTTAACCCTTTGGCTGTCGGTGTCGTATATATATGTCTTATGAGCCAGTGTTTTTGACGTATAAATCACCAAAAATTTAAGCAGCTTCAAATCAGGTGGGAGAAAGCTGGTAAGCCCAATGGGGAGAGAATGGGTCCGTGTGGTCAGTGTGTGCAGCATAAAAAAAAAATCCTGCAGCACACAGTGCATAATGAGAATAAAAAACCCCGACCATGTTTTTTTTTTTTAAAATGCCAACTTTGAGGTGTATTTTTGTATAGTATTTATGGGTTTTATTCTCGTTTTCTTGGTCTCGTTTTTATAGAATGGAAGATATAATACAGAAATAGTGATGATTGTGACTGGTTTCAAGAAGAAAAGGACCTAGAAATTGAGCTCAATATAGCGAAATGTTCGATTTTTGCTGATGTTCAAGAGTAAACAAATGACTCACCGTCCAATACATGTCCAACTGGGCGGTCTAATACACAGTCTGAATGAGTTTACATTATTTATACATTATTACAATAATGCAGTAGTCTGCATAATAGTAGATCTTTTATTTTTTTGTGAGAAAAAAAATTCAAGTAATATAAGAGCGGCCTGGAGACATGACTAATGAACAGAGAAAATGTTTTTTAGTGCCA